AATTTAGCCTTCAAAGCTATCAAGATTATAAATCGGACTTGAAATGAAGAATAAAATGAAAGTTAAGCATTCAAGTCAAATCATTTGAGACAATAGCAATTTGCATGCGACGATCGAATTGGAATTTAAAGATTCGCAAAAGACGCAAATCAAGATACAAGTCAAAAGAACGACAAAGTCAAGATGATAGACATTGTACAATCATATGTAAAGGTAGAACATTTTAATACTAGGCAATGAATCGAGACGAGCTCAAGTTTTGATTTTACGATAGAAAAAATCATGATACAAAAATGTTTGCATAAAGATTTTTTTCAAAAGGTAAAATCTCAAAACTTATATTTGAAAAGTGTCACTTACTTTAAAAAATATTTTAAAAACGTCCTTCAAGCACTTACATTTGTTAAAAATTAAAACGAAAACGTTTCGGCGTAAAACTATCGTACCGGACGTCCAGTACGTCATACCGGACGTCTGGTATGGCAGTTTTAGCTCCAACGGTAAAAAATTCTAGCGTTTTGATTTTCTGACGTAACGGCTAGTTGATCGTCCGGTATGTAGCTGACGTCCGGTATGGGTCGTAAATCATGATAGTGGAAAATATTGGATTGCACCATAAGTCAATAACGATAGCGGAAAATGCCTTGTTCGTGCCGGAGAGCTTAGTAACGGGGGACGAGATTAAGTTTGGGATTGAACCTCCATAAATATATCGTTTGCATCCTCTCTTCCCACGAGCTCGGCTCGTTACAAATACTCGAGCTGGGCTCGGCCCACGAGCTCGTGTGCGGCTCGGGTAATTTTTTTTATATTAATAAGATATGCCTTTTTAAAAAAAAAATAAAATTTTTGGATGAACCCACGATTGCTACCACTACTTGAACTTGCTTAAGTTTATTAATTTATCAACGTGTTTTTAACTTACGTGATTTTAGTTAATTATTCGAAAAAGTTTTAAAAATCAATTCACCTCCACTCTTGGTTAGTTATTCTTGGGCTAACAATAACAAGTGGAAATAGATATCGATCTTAAATTTCAGAGAATCGTCCACGTAGGTACAAGGATCAAAGCATGAAGACTCAATTGCCATTAATAACGGAAAAGAAAGTCATGTATAGAGATGCCGTAAAAAAGTAGTGTTATAAAATTTGGACTGGCCAGGTGGTTGAACTGAAAAATTGGTGACCCGAGCATCCAATCGGTTTGGTTCTAACAATCTCACTGTTGAACAATTGAACAGTTTACAACTTTGGAATCCATCGATTTTTTCACATAATTGGTGACCCGTTGGTTCGTTGCATGTTAAGAACACTTCTCTATGAAGACGTCGACTTCTCTTATAGTAATGACCTAACCCCAAATCTCAACCTGGAAGTTAACCAATTTCTTCCGGGTACTTACTCACTACATTCAACCCACAATTTCAAATTGTATGGGATGAAAAGAAAGCATGCAAGGGCGGACACGGGGTCCTGGGGGTCACGTGACCCCCCAACTTTGGGAAATTTTTTTTTTTTTTTTTTTCTTTTTTCGGTCCCGTTTGATATGGATTGAAATATTAATTTTAATCTAAATCAATGTTAATAATTAATTTTAATAACGAATTTTATGATATTCACAATTTTTCAATTTTTATCAAAATATGTTAAAAATCTAATATTAATCATCACCAAACAGGGACAAAATCTCAATATATTTGAACTTTTCTTTTTTCTTACTCTCTCGCGACTCTCCCCCTCACACTTTTTACCAAAATCTTAATCCTTCTATTTTTTTTAACAATTTATCTATAATTTCTCTACAAATTATCATATCTACTACAAATTTTTACTTCCCAATAATAATAATAAAAAAAAACTGATTAGAACCTAACTTTGCATTTCCTCCTATCAAATTATGTATATAGAATTTGTCTGAAATAATTATGTTCAATTCAACTTATATTTAATGAATTGTGTTCATTTGATTGATTATTAGTATTGAATATTAGTTATATATTTTTTCTTTAGATCACTTAAATTGATTGTTTGTATCAAATACAATATAAATTCTTTAAACGTAAATATACATTTTCGAAAAAATGTTAATAAAATGACCGTTTGAAATCAAATGGATGAAAAATGATGAGCAAAATATTAATGAATGAATAATTTTTTAAACGTAAATCTGCGTTTTCTTGGGTCAAGTATGAATTATTCAAAAATCAGGAACAAAGTATTTGATCTGCACTAGGTTTGATTGTACCCCTTAACTCAAAATGTCCGTGTCCGCCACTTAAACATGTATAGTATCTTTTAATTTCTTGATAACTAGAATCTTTAGAAATTTTGTCATGAGCTTTTCCTCTATGAGTCATATCTATTTTGAGTTTTAGCTTTTGTAAGGTTAAAGCAATTGGAAAAGTAGTTTTGGTGGGTTAAAGGAACTTTTTATTAAAAAAAATATTTATCTTATCCTACACCGTGTATTTTATGTTTTATTAAAGAGAAATAGCGAAAGAAGATGGATTATTAATCTCTTCCTACACTGTCTGTTTTGTTGGATTTTGGCTTGTAAATTAACGAAATTGATAACTATCTAGAGTAAATGAGGAATTTTATTGTTGGATTTTGACTTGTAAAGTGATGTTTAGTTACAAAATAAACGTAAACTTAATTTAGTGAACTATAATAAGTTATGTTATATTGTTATATTTGACAAAAGCAGACCATCGGTTCAACAATTTATTGATCCCGCTGTTCAACCACTGGATCAGCGATTCGATGTGATTCGATAACTCGATGCTTCGACATGCGAATCGAATCTAATAACTATGATAAAAAGCATCTATTACGATCAGAACAATAAGTTTGTTGATGTTTTGATAATTATAAATCAAAACTTTCCACGACAAACTACGATTTGGCTCTCATGGAAGATTGTAATATCTTTTGAGAAAAATAATGTCGATCTTAAAATAATTTCTAAATTAATTAGTTGTATGAAACCCATCACAGAGGATAATCCATGACTAGAATGATGAAATTTCACATTTCACGTCTTACGTAAGACAAAATATGTTAGGTAATTGCCTCAAAAGTCAGAAGTTGGGAGGACTCCTATTGCAAATAATAAAAGGTGTTTATTATACAGAAGACTCCTAATTGAAGTTGAGTGCAGAATCCTGTTAGAATTTGATCTCCAATTTGTAGTCGATTTTGGAGTCATTATTTGAGTTTAAATTAAACTCTTCTATTTGGTTATTTGGTCCTATAAATAATAGAAGTA